AGAAAGCAAAAAGTCATTAAGAAGACAAGAAAGAAGGAAAAGGTCAAAATGGATGTCAGAGGAGAATATTGAAACTGCCATGGGCTGCCAAAAGAACCAACAGATCCATGTTAGAAGAAGTGCAGCCAGAGTGCTCCTTGGAGGTCAGGATGGCCAAACTTCATCTCTCATACTTCGGACTTTTGTCAGGAGGGACCAGTCACTGGAGAAGGGTATCATGTTTGGTAAAGGTAGAGGGTCAGAGAAAAAGAGGAAGAGCCTCAACGAGATGAATTGGCCAAGTCACAGCATCGATGGACTCAAGTGTGGCAACAACAGTGAGGTTGGCCCATGATCGGACAGTGTTTCATTCTGCTGTGTATAAGGTCGCTATAAGTCAGTACCGACTCGATGGCACCTAATAACAACAACAAGGCTCCTCATTCTTGGAGAACCCATTAGCTGATCAAGAAAGAGGAAGCAGAAATGACTCAGCACTCAGAATTGATTCCAGTTTGGCCACGCCCTGACTTTAAGGCCTTTCTCTGCTTCTGAATTCATTTCTATAAGATGAGTAAGGAACTTACACAATTGTTGTACCTAATATCAAAAAGCAAAATCAGTGTTGATAGTGGGTCCAAGAAAAATGAATTCTTTGAAAACGTCAATCTGTTATCCATTTATCATGATATCATTTATTGGCCCATTGATAGGATTTTTGTTTTCTTTACATTGAGGAACAACCCATACTGAGTTCTCTGGTCTTTGATCTTCATCAGTAAGTATTTTGAATCCACTTTCTTTAAGCAAGCAAGGTTGTATCATCTGCATATTACAGGTTGTTAATGAGTCTTCCTCCAATCCGGATGCCATGTTCTTCTTCAATAATCCAGCTTCTCGGGTTATTTGCTCAGCATACAGATTGAATAGTATGGTGAAAGAATACCACCTGGTGCACACCTTTCCTGATTTTAAACTCTTCAGAGTCCTCTTGTTCTGTTTGAACAACTGCCTCTTAGTCTATGTATAGATCCCTCATGAGCACAACTAAGTGTTCTGGAATACTCATTTTCCACAATGTTGCCCATAGCTTGTCATAGTCCACACAGTTGAAAGCCTTTAAATAGTCAATAAAGCACAGGAAAACATTTTTCTGGAATTCTCTGCTTTCAGCCAAGATCCAGCTGACATGAGCAATTGTATCCCTCATTCCACATCCTTGTCTGAATCTGGCTTGAGCCTATGGCATTTCCCTGTCAATGAACTGTTGCAGCCATTTTTAAATTAATCTTCACAAAATTTTACTTGCGTGTGATATTGTCTGATGATTTCTGCTGTTGGGTCACCTCTCTTTGGAATGGGCACAAATATGGATCTCTCATGGAAGCAGCAGTTAAGAAATCAAATGATGGATCGCATTAGGCAGATTTGCTGCACAAGACCTCTTTAACGTGTTATAAAGAGCAAAGGTGTCAGTTTGAGGACTAAGGTTTGCCTTACCTAAACGTTGGTATTTTCAGTAGCCTCATATATATGTGAAAGGAGCTCTGGTAGCGTAGTGGTTATGAATCAGGCTGCTAACTTCAGGGTCAGCAGTTCAAAACTACCAGCTGTTTCCTGGGAGAAAGATGAGGCTTTCTGCTCCCGTAAAGATTTACAGCCTCAGAAACCCTGTACAGGGTCGCTATGAGTCAGAACTGACTGCACAGCACATAACAACAACAACAGCAACAACATATGTATGTGAAAGTTGGACAATGAATTTTAAACCATTCAGTGTTCCCATATTCTGTATACTGGGTAGATTCAAGTAATCAAATGGAAATCTTTCACTCCACCAGGGTCCTTACAATCAGTAGCAAATACCATTTCTTCTTCCCTTCTTTCCCTCCCATCCAGTGATGTGCTAGCAGTAGCTCAACAGGCTTGTAAAATTCAGCTGTTAAATATTTAGAAATTTTGTGATATGATCATGTTGACGTTTTTTCTTATTTATATGGTGGATTATGTTGATCATTTTTCTAATGTTGAACTATCCTTGCATCCCTGATATGAATCCCACTTGATCAAGATGTATTATCTTTTTGATGTGCTGCTGGATTCTGTTGGCTAGGATTTTGTTGAGAATTTTTGCATCTATGTTCATGAGGGATATTGGTCTATAATTTTCTTTCTTAGTGACATCCTTCCTTGGTTTTGGTATGAGGGTTATGCTTGCTTCATAAAAATGTATTAGGAAGTTTTCCATCCTCCTCTATTTTTTGGAATAATTTGAGTTGAATTGATGACAGCTCTTACCTGAATGTTTGGTAAAACTCACCAGTGAAGCCATCTGAACCTGGACCTCTTTTGGTTGGGAGTTTTTTGATGACCTGATCAATTTTTTCTTTTGTTATGGATCTGTTCAAGTTTTCTACTTCACTCTGTGTAAGTTTAGGTAGACTGTGTTTTTCTAAAAATATTTCCATCTCTTCTAAGTTTTAAATTTGTTGGAGTACAACTTTTCATAGATTCTGTTATTATCCCTTTGATTTCCTTTGATTCCATTTGACGTCTCCCATTTGGTTCCTAATGCGTGTTATTTGTGTCTTCTCTTTTCTTTTGTTAGGTTTGCCAATTGTTTGTCAAGTTTCTTAATCCTTTCAAAGAACCAGCTTCTTGTCCTGTTGATTCTTTCTATAGTTTTTCTGTTTCTTAGCTCATTTATTTCTGCTCTAATTTTTATTATTTCTTTTATTTTGGTGGATGTAGGTTCCTTCTGTTGATCTGTTTCAAATAGTTGTAGAAGCCTACAACCTTCTTAACCCTATTCTGACAACCACCATTCTTCCCACAGCACTCTCTGCTTCACATCTTGGTTCCATAATCCATTGCAATGGCCACACAGATGACTCTTTTCAAATCTAGCTGGAGAGTAAAACTAGCCAATCCCAGCCTGAGTGCTATATACCTTATTTACATGGTCCCACCCAATCTCATGGTGGGAATTAAGAGAGTTTGGATAGAAAAGCCAGATCAAATCAGTTCAAGGCACACCACCCACCGCTCTCATGATCTCATTCCCAGTTTCAGGGAAGGAAACTACTTAAACAAGCAACTCTCTAACTCTTCAACGTTCATTATTAATTATTCAGTTCCACTTCCCCTCTCTCCCCATGGCATACCCCAAGTGGAGACTCAAGGGCCTATGGTGTGCTGTGAAGGCAGAGAACAGCAGAGGAGAAAGCCTGAGGGGAGAGTATGAAAAAAAGAATAAAAGGGAGAGCAATAGAGGAAGGAAAGGGAAGAGCATCAGGAAGCCAGTGTTGACAGAGGCCAGAGCAGAGCAAATGTAGGAATCTGCCAATGCCTACCACATAATGTCCTCACAGGCAATTGGGCCATTCCCCACCTGGGGCCAGAATGAGACCAGGGTGCCAGGAGAAATGAGGAAACTACCTTCCGAAACTACCCTGAAATAGGGAGGAAGTGGGGACCTACACATCTGGGGTCAGAAGGAAAGGGGGCTGGAGATATGGACTGGTGTGGCCTAGCAGCCAAGATGCCTCCATTTCTAATTATTATAGGGGCTGGGTTCCCAGACTTCTGGGTCCGACGGAGGAAGGTGTCAGGGATCCAACTTTCCTAGGTCTGAGGGAAGCCTGGATTCCAGGGTCTGAAGAAGGTGGGACTTGGGTCTGAACTTCAGGGTTCTGAGGGAAGAAGAGAGGTCCCAGAGTCTAGGTCTTTCAAGCATTTGCAGACTCAGAGGGAGGTGCCCAGGGCTTGGTTTAGCAAGACCCTCCCATCCCCACCCCTTTCCTGGGCTGTTTTGGGTAAGATATGATATAAAAGGACTGTGATTTCCCAAGAGATAGAAGAGGGGGCAGCCTTGCAGTTGCAGATTGGTCATGAGTCCTACCCCTCTGCTGGTCCTTCTGGGGGTCACTCTCATCCTGCCCCGTGAGTGAAGATCCCAACTCCAGAGGTTGTATTTCCCTGAGAAGGGCATAGGGGAACCCTACTAAGATGGATTTGATCCTCCCATCCTAGGAGTCAAGACCCTGACCTGCCAGCAAGGTACACTAAACAAAGTCTACAATGTAACTGAACTGCCCCTCCAGTGGACAGCAGAGCAAGGAGACTGTGAGGAAGGCTGGGGTTGCCAAGACACAATGATGCTCATTCATAATGGTGAGAAATCCCACGGGCTACGGTCCTCCTGGCTGACACCTCTGCCTAGTCCCACCTGCATAGAAACTCAGGACACCCCACCCCTAGCATCAGGATCCGCTGGCACTTAAAGGGGTAGGGAGGTGCCCAGTCTCTCTCCCCTCTGCCAGAACCCTGGCATCCTATCCCCACACCCACCCATCAGTCTCTCTCCTCTTGTCTAGGACCCTTGGTGAATCTGGTGCTCATCAAGGGCTGCACTCAGGACCCAGACCAGGAGGTCCAAGTCACTGAGCACAGATCCAGCCCTGGCCTCTCCATTACCTCCTACACGCATGTGTGCCGGAATAACTTGTGCAACAACCTCGCCAACAGCATCCCACTCTGGGAGCCACTGCAGCCATTGACCACAGGTGCTGGGGAAGGACAGGATGAGGGTGTGGACTCTTGGACTGAGGGGCTAACAGAGGGTGTGAGGGACTGCTTATTTCAAATCACTTCTTTCAGCTTCCTTCTTCACAGTCCCTCCTCTCCCTTTCACCTTCTCCTTCACCTCTCCTCCATCCCCTTACTATCTTGATCCTGGCTCACCCTCTCCTGTTTTCTCCATCTCTCCCTTGTTTGCTCACCCCCTTCCTTGCTCCTGCTTTCCAGTCACCCTACTCCTACATCCAGAGACTCCCCTAGACCAGCTTCTTCCCAGGAAACTGTCCTTCAACTGTGGTGATCTAAGCTGGGCTTCTTGCATACTCCTGGTTTTCTGTACTCCCAGGTTTGGTTTCCTAAGGCTTTACTGAGGTTTTTTGTGTTTTCTCCTCCAAAATCCTGGTGTGCCCACTGTAGTATAAGCACTGGATGGCTGACCATGAGGCCAGCAGTTCAAGTCCACCAACTGCTCCTCAGGAACCCTATATATAATAAGAACCTAGGCAAAGGCACTTAAGAGTAACAGCAATTTCCTAGGCGAACCTGTCCTGTGATTTCCCTGGTCCAGTGTTGGTACGGACCACCTGTGAGCTGTATGAGTCACATTTAGAGGGTCGTATTCTGCAGTTTCCCACTCTTTGAAGTAGTTTGTAAACTTCTTGTTTTCCTTGACTCCACTGTTGAGAATTTTTTTCTGCTAAGAGCCATTTGGATATTTATAACATCACTTAATATAAATTCATATTGTTATGGAAAAAATTCCCAGATTTATAGAATTTCAAGCTGCCTGCAGTTGCCTTGGCAGAAGAAGACCAAAGGATTTTGTGGGGCCAGCTGTTCCCCATCCCTGGTTTAGTAGGACTACTGTTCCTCTCAGGACACCTCCCCCTTCCCTGACCTATGTGTGTTCTCAAAAGGCTTCCCTACTCCCTGCCCCCTAACACCTCCACCCACACCCCACGTGGGACCCTAGCACACCTCTGTGCTGACAACCCTGTGTACCCCTACCAAAGCTCTACCTGGGACCTCTCCCTACATTGACCACTGTCCATATTCTGGTCCAGTTGCTCCTTCCCAGAGCTTTTATTCCCTCTCTCCCAGCTGTCTTCCTAAGCCCAAGCCCCTCATTCCTCAAACACTGGGCCTGCGTGAGAGAAATCAAGGAGGGTGTGTTTCAGAAAATTCTGTGGTTTTCTCTCTCTCTCTCTCTTTTTTTAAAGCTTTTATTGTGAGTTGAGTGATAGTTTACATGGAAGAATATCAGTTTTGCACTCAAGCAATTGTATTTTGTTTCATTGCAATGATTACAATCCCTTTCATGCACCATCGGTTAACAGTATTTGCCTCTGTCCTGTTGTTCCAAGGTTGAGTATGCATCACTATTTGTTGTTGTTGTGATGTGCCTTGGAGTCAGTTCCGACTCAGAGCGACCCTGTACAGGGTTTCTGAGCCTGTAAATCTTTACGGGAGCAGAAAGCCTCATCTTTCTTCCACGGAACCTCTGGTGGTTTTGAACTGCCGACCATGAGATTAGCAGTCCAATTCGTAACCACTAAGCTACCAGAGTTCCTTGCAGCACTATTTACCTCTGTCCTATTTAGCCCATGCAAACCTGTCTCAGTGTTCTTCTATCTACCTTATTCTAACCCCCAGTCCCTTCTTGTGTATTGCCCTCCCCAGCACCCAAACTATGATGTGTGTGTCCCCTACCCTGTGCTCTATTGTCCCCTCCCTCCACCTCCCCCCAAGCCCGCCAACCCACCCCCACTGGTAATCAACAAAGAATTTTTTCCCCCTTAAATATGGGTATCTTTTCTTAAGCTTTTACAATAACAGTCTGTGGTTGTCTCTTGAGGCCAGCTATTACGTATCTGTTCCACAACCTCCTCACTACCCTCCCTCTCTCACCTCCCCAGTTACCCCACCATCAGAGGCCTTGCAGTGCCCCATCTGCATGTCCACAAACGGGTGCCCGGAGAGAGGGACCAAGTTCCTCTGCCCTCCAGGGACCACGGATTGTTACAACGGTGTCGTCACACTCAGTAAAGGTTGGTTGCTGGTGACATGGGGGTCCCTATGTGAGCAGATCCCCCATGGAGAGAACTGAAGGTTGAGATCTGAGTCTCCAGAGGAAGGAGGGTAAACTGAGACATGGGTCTGAAAGGAGGGCAGGACTGAGGGAGCTGAGCCTGCCGGGGAGGTTGGATGGTCTCAGCTTCAAGGTCTGCTTCTCCCTCCTTCCCTCTCTTCCTTTCCATAGGTGATACCACCACCAACATGAGAGTCCAGGGCTGCCTAGCCCAAGGAGGCTGCAACCTGCTTAATGGGACCCAGAGAATTGGTGCCCTGAGTTTGAGTGAGAACTGTAATGCTAACGGTGAGTCTCACACTCAGCAGAAGACCGGACCCACAGAGCAGCCTGTGGTGTGGCCTCCCTCTTGTAGTTTTGTTGTTGTTCTTGTTGTTAGGTGCCAATCAAGTCATTTCGAACTCATAGCGACTCCATGTGAGAGAGTAGAGTTGCCCCACACCATTTTCTAGGCTGTAATCTCAGCTGGAGCCGGTCACCAGACCTTTCTACCGCAGAGCTGCAGGGTGGGTGTGAATCGCCAGCCTTTCCGTTAGCAGCTGAGTTCTTAGCCATTTGCTCGTTGTTAAAGTATTGGACAGGACATTCAAACCCATCACATCGAAGCTAGCAACGACAATACTTTAGGAGTTTATTACTCACCCAGGCACTTACAAAGTGAGGGCATTCTCCAGGCAGAAAATGAGGAGAAAGAAGGTGTAGTTCGAGCATAGATACATAGGACCAGGACTCAGCAGTGGGAGCTTTGAATGGTGCTGGGCAGAGTAAGTTGGAGGCACAGTCCTGGTGAGACGGAAGCCGGGAGAGCAAGTTACTTTGCAGGTGACTTTCCCTGGTACCCTAGAAGTGTGTTCAAGTTCAGGTCATTTTTCTGGAAACCAGTCATCCATTACCTCCGGTCATTCTATTTCTCCACAACGCTGACTTCTGATAGCTTTGGGTCTTCTACTTTCCCTTGACCATCTTTTAGCCCTTCTGCCACCCTTGTCACTTCCTGCTCATGATCCTGAAACACCCCAGTGGGCTTACTGAATAGGAAAGAAAATCCAGACAAAATGTAGGGTGTTTCATTTGTGACAGGAAGTCAGGTAACAAATGGGAACTCAGGGTGGTGGTGGGGGGGGGGGTTCCCACTTAACTGCAGCCAGGCCTTTTGCTGTAGGACAAAGGGAGAGCCTCACAGGACATTGGGAGTTCCCTGGAAGGTCTCAATTCCAGAGGCCATGAGACAAAGGGACGCTGTGGTGGGGAGGGAATGGGGAGGGCTGGGGAGGGCTCGAAACACTTGATAGAAAGACATTCTGTCTGAGTCTCTTGCTTTATCCACCAAAACCACCTGGAAACTCAAAGAAAGATGCTGAGGGAGTCCAGCCGACAATCTCTCCCCAGGGATTGAACCACTGTCCTCCATTAGGTTCCCATCAGCTGGTTTCAGGAGCAGACAGACCTTTCCTTCTGGTCTGTCTTACTCTGAAAACTCTGCTGAAACCTGTTAAGCATGAAGTGCATTGGCCAGGAATCGAACCTGGATCTCCTTCATGGAGAAATACACTATTGTTGTTGTTGTGAAGTGCTACCCAGTTGATTCCAGCCCATAGTAACCCTGTATAGGGTTTCCAAGAACACCTGGTAGGTTTAAACAGTTACCAATGAAGTTCTTATCTTAGGGCAGTAAATACTCAATATGCACTAGGCCTTTGGGTAGTTCTATTTAAGATATAGGGTTTCTCAGCTGAAAGAAGTAACAATCTACAAATTACAGCTCAGACTACCGTCCTCATTTTCCAGGTAAGGATTTTGAGACTAGATAGGAAAATAGAGGTGGTCGCAGGCTAAGGAAAACCTGTTTTGCCCCACTCCCCAACAGGAGGGGCAGCTTTCCTCCACACATGGTGAAAGGTGGTCCCAACAGGATGAAGAATGGGAGCCTGAAGCATGGACGTAGATTTCCCAAAGCCCCCTTAAGTCTGAGATTGTGGGACTTGCAGTCAGGTTATCTAAACTGTGATTCCAACATGTATCCAACATTTCTCCATGAAGGAGATCCAGGTTTGATTCCTGGCCAATTCCTGAGCATGGGACCTGAAGGGACAAATATAACTGAATCTCTGGACTAATCACACCTGGGTGACTTCTTCTCTCCAGATTTTCTGAGCTGTCACTCAGGGATCATGGTGAAGACTCTTCCAGAACTGTCTCGGGAACCCGTGGAGTGGACCACATACAGTAGCAAGATGTGCAATATTGGGGAGGTGTGTCAGGAGACACTGTTGCTTATTGATTCAGGTGCGTAGGCATCCCGGTCCACTGAGTTTCCTACCAGGTCCTCCTCCCTGCCTGGAGTTCCATGGACCCTGGTTGGTTCTATGTTCCTGGTGTGACACCCTAGAACAAGCACCGGACCACAAGGCTGGTGGTTCAAATTCACCAGCCGCTCCTCAGAAACCCTATACAGGGTTGCTATGAGTCGGAACCAACTCGATGGCACTTAACAACAACAATAGTTGAGTCAGCCACTTGCACAATGAAACCGAATGCTACCTGGTCCTGAGCCATATCCATGATGGGTTGGGGCTTGGATTGTTGTGATCCGGAAAGTCTCCATTGGTTGACTTTTAGAAGTAAAAACCAGACCTTTCTTCATAGTCCGTCTTAATCAAACAATCCACTGAAACCTGCTGAGCATCATAGCGACACACGAGCCTTCCTTGAAAGTTGGAATCTGTAGTGCACTGACCAGGAATCCAATTCAGGTCTCCTCATAGAACATGAGACTTTCACCGTTGAGCCAGAAGCCCTGGAGGCTGGAATCACTCTTCCGTTACCTGTGCCTTGGTTTCTCCTTGTGAAAAGACAGGGTTACAGTGATGGTGATGATTGTGTCTCCTTTGCTGGGTGGTTATGATGACACATGTCATAATGTATACTAAGAGCTGAGAACTGTGCAGCACAGATAATCATAATGACTGAATGTTTGCTGAGCATTAGGGGTTGAGCTCTGTTTTGGACCTTGTAGATCCAGTCATCTCTTCCTGGAACTTTCTGTAGCAGTAGGAGGAGATAAGAGGGCAGAGAATGCGGAAATTAAGTAGGAAGATAAGAGATACATACAAGGAGACTTCAAAAAGTTCATGGGCAAGTTGAATGTACAGATAGTGGGATTTTTCCACAAACTTTTTGAGGCCCCCTCATAGAGCAAGGGCAGGTAAGGAAAAAGAGGTGAAAGTTGCCATTTTAGAGCAGGTGCTCAGGGGAGACACTACTGAGAAGGTGACATTTAAACAAGAACTTAGAAGAAGTAAGCAAGGGCGAGCACCAGGAACGCTTCTAAGTGATTCGTGTATGTATCTCAGCCCGATCCATCCTCACAGCATACCTGTGATGGTTGCATTAGGATGCTCTCTGTCATCCAGATGAGGCACCAGGGCAAGGGTGCGCCCGCCTGGGAGGTGACAGAGGTGGACCCAGGTTCTTGCTCCAGTCTACACACCACACTACACATGATCAGGGAACCTGCATTCACCCTGTGTCTACTAAGCTTCTTGGAACCCCCAAATCCAGCTCCCTAACCCCTGTCTTCTCCCAACTCCCCTGTCTGGCTCCCCTACTCTTCTAGCCCACCTTTCACTCTTCTACCCCCTCAGGATACAAATCCCTTCTACTGGGGAGCAAAGGTTGTACCTTGCCTGGGACACAAGATTCCCAGAAGGTCTCCATACACTCGGGCCCCCCCAACGTGCTTGCTGCCTCCTACACCCATGTCTGCAACTCCAATTGGTGCAACAAAGCTGATAATAGCAGCGTCCTGCTGAACACCCTCCCTCGCCCAGGTATGGGATCCAGCAGGCTGGTTGGAGAGCTTGGAGAGACTTGAGGTGGGTAACTGGAGTTGGGGACAGAGCTGTGTACCCCAAACCTCTCTCTGCTCCTCAGCTTCCCCTGCTCCTGAAGGCTTCAAGTGTCCTGTCTGTGTGAATGTCTTCGGAATCTGTTGGGACTCCAAAATCATAACATGCCCTGTCAATGCCACTTACTGTTACACAGGATACATCCATCTAAATGGAGGTGAGTGTTGAAAGCAGGAGGATGAGGGGCTTGGGGATCTGGACGTATTGGTCCTGAGGTAGGAGGAGGCTACAGACCCTGACTCATGGGTCTGAGGGAGGAGAGAGCTAAGGCGAAGAATCCTGGGCCTAAGGAATAAAAGGGCAGGGGGCTTCATTAGTCTTAAAGTGGGAGGGAGGTTACTGTGTCTGAGGGAGGAGAGGACTTGGACTGGGACCTTGGGTCTGAGAGCTTAAAGTGTTGTCCTTTGTAACCCTCTAGGTGGAGTGTCCACCATAATGAACGTTCAGGGCTGCATGGTCAAATCTTCCAGCAGGTTGTTTAAAAATACTCAGAATATTGGCGTGTTCTCAGTGATTGAGGAAACTCAGAACGAGCCTCCTTCTCAAGATGGGGTCGCCCCTGCACCCTACCTGACTTGGGTAATGTGGCTGGTGTTGACCCTAGCCCTTTGGTGTGGGGGTTTTTGTTTTTCCTATTAAACTAATGTCCAGAGATTCTTAACCTCTGTTTACCCCCCAAAGCTAACATTCCCTCTGACTTCATGACCTGATGGCCTTGGACACATAGTTATTTCCCCATCATCTTCATGATTTTGCAGATGGTAAATCTTTTGGGAATCAGAGAGCCTCATCTTTATCCTGCAGAAAAACTGGTGGGTTTAAACCATCGACATTACAGTTAACAGACCACTAGTCTTGGCCTGTGTACAGTTTCCTCGTTAGCAAAATTAAGCATTCTGGAATACCCATTCTTCACAATGTTATTCATAATTTGTAATGATCCACGTAGTCAGAAGTCTTTGCATAGTCAATAAAGCACAAGTAAACATGGAGTCCTGGTGTGATGCTGTGGGTTAATGCGCTGGACTGCAAAGTCGGTTTGAACTGCAAGGTTACTGGTTCAAGCTGACCAGCCCTCCTTGGAAACCCTATACAGGATCACTGTGGGTTGGAACCGACTCGACGGTACTTAACAACAACAACAAACATCTTTCTGGTATTCAAGATCCATGTGAAGTCAGCAATGTCCGTGCTTCTGACAGATTTGTTCATGCTTCTAACAGCCCATGATACCATGATATATTCAATACACGTCATCAGCAACATAATTCAAATGTTTCAATTATTTTTTCAGTTTTCATGTATATATATGTTGTTGTTGT